TCAATTTCTCGGGTCTATGTCCCTCATGGGTAAATATATACGCCATAGAATACAAATTTTGTAATTTTTCACACAAAAGTCACGGTCCATTTGACCCGCCAAATATATTATAATTTGTAAACACGATACAGGTCACAGTTATGGACCAATCTTCGGCGAACTCGATATATGGTACACCATGAGTATGAGTATTAAAAATCCAATCACTGAGTTCTCCATGCGTATGAGTGTTGTCGTTAATTATACGCAGCGTGAGTTTCATTATAATAAAACTGAAAATTTTGTTAAAATCATGACCAAATTTGGATTTTTATACCCTTCACCACACTGTGGTACAGGGTATTATGTCTTTGTGCATATGTTTGTAACAGGCAAAAATAATCGAGATAGACCCATGGTTCCTTTTGAGAATATACAAAGAATCACTTCCTAAGTCGATTTATGCATGTCCGTCCGTCCGTCCGTCCGTCTGTCTGTCCATGTTAAATTGTAAACAAAGTACAGGTCGCATTTATGATCCGAATTGGATGAAATTTGGCATAGGTCACATATTCGGCCCAAGGACGAACCCTATTGAAATTGGGAAAAATCGGTTCAGATTTTGATATAGCTCCCATATATATATTTAACCGATTTAATGTAAACGGTCCCTATATATCTTTCGATTTGCACGAAATTTGGTACAGCCTAATCATTTAGGTCTAGAATGATGTCTGCCAAGTTTCGTAAAAATCGGTCCAGATTTAGATATAGCTCCCATATATAGTTTCGTCCGATTTCATGTAAATGGTGCACCAAAGTCCCTATATATCTTTCGATTTGCAAAAAATTTGGTACAGCCTAAGCACTTAGGTCTAGAATGATGTCTGCCAAGTTTCGCGGAAATCGGTCCAGATTTAGATATAGCTCCCATATATAGTTTTGTCCGATTTCATGTAAATGGTGCCCCAAAGTCCCTATATATCTTTTGATTTGCACGAAATTTGGTATAACGTACTGAATTGAGCCTTGAAAGATGTCTGCCAAGTTTCGAGAAAATCGGTCCAGATTTAGATATAGCTCCCATATATAGTTTCGTCCGATTTCATGTAAATGGTGCACCAAAGTCCCTATATATCTTTCGATTTGCACGAAATTTGGTATAACGTACTGAATTGAGCCTTGAAAGATGTCTGCCAAGTTTCGAGAAAATCGGTCCAGATTTCTATATAGCTCCCATATATAGTTTCGTCCGATTTCATGTAAATGATGCACCAAAGTCCCTATATATGTTTCGATTTGCACGAAATTTGGCATAGCGTACTGAATTAGTTTCAGAATAATGTGTGCCAATTTTCGAGAAAATCGGTTCAGATTTAGATATAGCTCCCATATATAGTTTCGTCCGATAGTCAGATTGACATCAAAGTTTGCACAACGTACAAAATTGAGCATAGAATTACGTAGTTGCGTTTTCTAGAAGTACAGACATAGCCCAACGGATGACCTATTTATATTTGTTTGAAGTCGATTTACATACTTTATGGATAGATCTAGGTAGATTCATATTTAGATAAATATCACATATTTTATTTCATCCAATTTCATGTTAATCGTCCTGTTTAATATACCCATAGTGGTGAAGGGTATCATATAGTCGGCCCCGTCCGACTTTACTACTTTCCTTACTGGTTTACCTTTAAAATTTGTACAGCTTTTTATGCGGAAAAAATTTATTTTTTCCCGGAAGAATCCAACACAACCAATTATTTTCCCAAATAAAATTGGTTCTATTATAATTATTTATTTTATAACAAACTCCACCTGGAGGGAGTCTTCATAGAGGAGCTAAAGACAGGGAGCTCAGAAGAGTATTTATAGACGAGTTTCAGGGAGTAATTATAGTCGGACTCAAGGGTTTCTTTATAGTTGAGCTGACGTCTAGGTGGCTCTATGGACAGGTTAATGAACGCAGTCGTCTCGTCTTTAAAGCGATTGGGAATATAATGATTGATAAATACCCATCATCCCACCACAACAACGCCTTTTTCGAGTTTCTGGTCTGTGACAGACAACTAGATGACTGTCTACCAAAAAATATTTCGAAACTACAAAAAAAACAAGAATTAATGATACTTTAATTGAGTACTTATTTCGTGTGTTATCTTTACCACAAAATTTATCTAATTACACCATATAACAAAAATAAACAAGCCGAATGCAGATGATGAACAAAAAATACAGATAATATTTACCAAAGACGACACAACAGACTGAATAAAACAAAGCCACTTAATTGCCAACAGTTAACCACATTTAGGACACAAATACATTTAATTACCAAATGTCTGTTATTGAATATCAATTTGCAATGAAATTGAAATCTTAATATGAAGTAATAACACAGCGACAACAACATATGATTGAAAATTGTGAAATCTGAAAAGAAAAATTGGGTTGAACATATTAGTTACAATAAAATGAATTAAAAAATTGCCTAACCTTAAATTGAAATCAAACCGCATAGTGAACTCAATGACAGCAGGTTAATGCAACAATGTTGCAAGGTTGGGCTGAAAGGAATGTAAGATTTGCTTACAGAAATCATATTCAGCGAGTCTGCATGGAAATTATCCCATTGAAAATCTTATTCAGTTACTCTGAGGAACAATTTTCTTATTGGAAAAATTATTCAGCTGGGCTGCATTACAAATTTCTTAAGGAAAATAAAATTTATTAATTTAAAATTGCTAATTACTGAACAGATAACTTATTCAGCTGAGCTTAACTGCAGATTTCATAACAAAACCCTAATTCAGCTGGGCTGAATTAAAGTTATCCGAACAGAATCTAAGTATAGATGAGCTAAATTGCAGATTTCCCATTGGGTACGCTATTCTGGCTGGGCTGAAATGATGTTATCCGAACAGAAACTAAATATAGATGAGCTGAATTGCAGATTTCGAATTCAGCTGGGCTGAAATGAAATTCTGCTAACAGAAACCAAATGTAGTTGAGCTGAATTTCAGATTTAATAACAGAAACGAAATTCTGCTAAGCCGAATTGTAGATTTTGTTTCGAACACCTTATTCAGTTGGGCTAAATGACAGATTCCCTGGGCTGAATAGAAGTTCCACTAACATAAATCCAACATAGATGAGCTGAATTGTAGTTTTCCTGCTAAAAATATCTTATTATACTAAGCTGAATTGCAAATTCAGTTAAAGAAACCCAATTCAGCTGGGCTTAATTGCATATTATCTTTACGAAACCTTATTTAGCATGGCTGAATTGCAGAATTCCTCACAAAAACCCAATTTAGCTGAGCTCAATAGCAGATTTCAACATGGAAACCTCTTAGAAACCTAATTCAGCTCAGCTGAATAGCAAGTTTCCTACTGTAAACGTTATTCCAATGAGCAGAATTGCATATTTCATGACAGAAACATAATTCAGCTGGGCTGAAATGCAGATTATCTATAAGAAAGCTTATTCAGCCTGGCTGAATTGCAGATTTTCTGACAATAACCTAATTCAGCTGGGATGAATTGCAGATTTCTACTTGTAAACCTTATTCAACTCGTACAAATTTCCTCTTAGAAACCCAATTCCTATTGGAAACATTATTGCGATGGTCGGATTTGCATATTGCATAGCAAAAAGCTAATTCAGCTAAGCTGAATTGCAGACTATCTATAGGAAACCTTATTCAACCTTGCTGAATTGAAGAATTCCTAACAAAAACCTAATTCAGCTTGGCTAAATTTGCACAATAACCCTTGGATACCTTATTCAGCTGGGTTAAAGTGAAAATTTCCTCTTAGAAACCTAATTCAGCTTAGCTGAATTGCAAATCTTCTACTGAAAACATTAAAACGATAGCCGTAGTTTAAAAATTCATAGTAAAAACCTAATTCAGCTGGGCTGAATTGCAGATTTTCTATAGGAAACCTTATTCAGCTAGGCTAAATTGCAGTATTCCTAACAAAAACCTAATTCAGCTTGGCTGAATTGCACAATAACACGTTGATACCTTATTCAGCTGGGTTAAAATGCAAATTTCCACTTAGAAACCTAATTCAGCTTAGCTGAATTGCAAATTTTATACTGAAAAACCTTATTCCGATGGTCGGATTTACATATTTTATGGCAGAAACCTAATTCAGCTGTGCTGAATTGCAGATTTTTTATATGAAATCTTTTTTAGATTGGCTAAATTGCAGAATTTCCAACAAACCCCTAATGCAGCTTAGCTGAATTGCATAATTACACTTGGAAACCTTATTCAACTGAGTTTATGTGCAAATTTCCTCTTAGAAACCTAATTCAGCTTAGCTGAATTGCAAATCCCACATCGGAAATTGGAATAAATTTAATAAGAATTATTTAAAAGTTTCAGTTTTATTTAAATTAAATAAAAAAATCTCAAATTAAAGAACAAATCCGCAACTAATTGATTGGAAAACGATAAGCCTGCCTCCACTCTCTGAAAAAGTATTCGAATTGGAAAAGAAGAAAAAAAAACACCAACTAAACTTTTCAAACAACTTGAACTTTAAACAAAAATTAAAATCAAACAACGAAATAAAAAACAAGGCAATTCAATAAGAGCGAAGAAAAAAATCAGCAGCACCAAAAACAACAACAACCCGAACATGGCTCAAAAAGTTGTAACGTATTTGGTAAATATTGAATACTGTGGCAGCCAGGGAGGCAGGCTGAATGGCAAATAACATTTCTGTGGCCATAAACCAAAAAATCGCAACAACACAGAAGAAACCTGGCAAACAAACATGTTTCTCTACCCACTTGTGCCAGAAGCGATCTGTGTGATGCATTCTTGGCCGCACCTCATTTTGGCAGCATTAAATTGGCATTAACATAAATATCGTCGTCACCTTAAGCCAAGGGATAATGGGCACCTTTTTTCATTGCTTCGCTTTGTTTTCAGTTTTTTTTTTAAGAGCAATTCTTAACTGATTTCAATTTTTTTGTGGGGAGGAACAAATGTTAATGAGTTTTTGTATTTTTATTTTAATTGCAGCCACCCGGAACACCAGCACGTCCAGGCGGTAATCAACCCAGACCACCACCAAGAGGCGAACCAGGACCAGTAAGTATTTTTGAAAAGAAAATTTTTTATGAGAATACCATTTCAATATTTCTTCTTCTCAGGACCACGTCCACATGCCCGGTATGCCCTTCGAATTTGAATATGCCGTCAACGATGTCGAAACCGCCAACGACTATGCCCACAAGGCCAACAGCGATGGCGATGTGGTGACCGGTGAATATCGCGTCCAACTGCCCGATGGCCGCACCCAAGTGGTACGCTACACCGCCGACTGGAAGACTGGCTATCATGCAGATGTCAGCTATGAAGGTGAACCTCAATATCCTCAGGGACCCGGTGGCAGACCCGGCTATAAATACTGATTCGTGACTCCATAACATGTTTTGTTTTTTCGTTTATTAATTTGAAAAAATGCTGCTGCCGCTGATGTCATTGCTCATTAGTTATCACACAGAAAGGTTTTGAGATAAGATCCCTCCTCCCGTAACCCCCCTTAAAAATAGTAGACACGTACAACTTTTTTTCTCATTGCTAAGATTTAATTTAAATTTACCATCTAACATTTTGTTGATTTGTTGAAATTTATTTTTTCTTTTTTTTATTAATTAATAATAATTATTTTTTTCTCTTGTGTGTAATATGTTAAAAATAAAATATTAAAAATAATAAAAATATCTTTAAAAACAAATAAATAAACAAAACTGATCATGATTTAATCAATTTTAATATTTTTCAGGATTTTGAACAAAAAATATGTGATAAATAAAAAAATAATAAACAAAAAAATGTGGTTGTGTTTAATTTCAAGTATTTCAGCCCAGCTGAATAAGGTTTCTCAATGGAAATTTGCAATTCAGCATGGCTGAATAAGGTTTCCATAAGAAATCTTCAATTCAGCCTGGCTGAAAAAGGTTTCCATCAGGAAATCTGCAATTCAGCCTGGCTGAATAAGGTTTCCATCAGGAAATCCTTATTCAGGTTCTATGGGAAATCTTCAATTCAGCCTGGCTGAATAAGATTTCCCATAGGAAATCTTCAATTCAGCCTGGCTGAATAAGGTTTCCTATAGCTAAACTTCAATTCAGCCTGGCTGAATAAGGTTTCCTATAGGAAATCTTCAATTCAGCCTGGCTGAATAAGGTTTCCTATAGGAAATCTTCAATTCAGCCTGGCTGAATAAGGTTTCCTATAGAAAATCTTCAATTCAGCCTGGCTGAATAAGGTTTCCTATAGGAAATCTTCAATTCAGCCTGGCTGAATAAGGTTTCCTATAGGAAATCTTCAATTCAGCCTGGCTGAATAAGATTTCCTATAGGAAATCTTCAATTCAGCCTGGCTGAATAAGGTTTCCTACAGGTAAGCTTCAATTCAGCCTGGCTGAATAAGGTTTCCTACAGGTAAGCTTCAATTCAGCCTGGCTGAATAAGGTTTCCTATAGTTAAGCTTCAATTCAGCCTAGCTGAATAAGGTTTTCCATGGGAAATCTTCAGTTAAGCCTGGCTGAATAAGGTTTCCTATAGGTAAGCTTCAATTCAGCCTAGCTGAATAGGTTTTCCCTTGGGAAATCTTCAATTCAGCCTGGCTGAATCCTTACTCCTATGGGTTAAAAATCATAAAAAATATTCTTAAAAATCCACACCATTGAAAATATTTCTAATAAAATCCACAAATCCATAATAGATGACTTAGGAAACTTTAAGAATAGTTTTATTCAAAAATGATTTTCTAGTTTTAATTGGGCGCCATGGAATGTAGTGCAACCGGCCAATGTTATTTGGGCGATACCAAAGCCACAAAAATTTCGTTTTCTCTTTCTTCCATTTATTTTTTTTATTTATTTTATTTTGCCACTACACAGCCTTGGCCTTAAGAAAAACTGTTTTGCCAGTAAGTCAGCCAGCCAGCAGCTGTTCAACCCAACGGTACTTCCTACCATATTATCGAAATGGCCAAGACACTGACCACAAAGAATTCATGTAAATGCTAATGCTGCTACAGCTGCTAATAGTCTTGTTGTTGGTGTGTTTGTAACCAACACTCCAACAACTTGTTGGCCAAAGCAGCCAATTGTTGTTTTTTCAAAAAACAAAAAAAATACAATTGGCTTCTCAGATTATGATTTCCACTATTTATTTGTTTGTTTTTGTCTGAAAGTGTGTGTGAGAGAGAGGAGGCTGGTCACACACACACACATTTGTATACAAGTTTTCAATTTAGCATACTGTAAAATAAAATACATTCCAAATATTGAATAATATCTTGTTACTTGTTTTCTTTGTTGCAAAATTCAAATTATTTATGTAAATTGTTGTTGTTGTGTCGAACAATCAATAATGTTCGAAGCTGGCTAGGAAGCCGGGTAGATATTGAATTAATTATATCTACATAAAAATAATTGAAATAGCATCTTCTCAATGATTTCTCTTGAATAATTGAAACAATTTGTCGGCATTTAATTTATAGAAAAAACGAACAACAGCAACAACAACCGTTTGCCTCATGACACCTTGGCTGTTGTAATAGGAAATAACACCTGCCAGTTATTTGTGGTATCCATAAATTTATGGTCTGACGAAGAATAACAGCAACAGCTACTGTTAATTAGAAATAAATTACTAGAATGAAGCAATATTCATTTAATATTTAATTATAATAAATTATTCAATTTAAACACAAAAATTTTCAAATAAAAATTGTGAAATTCTTAACGGACTCAAAAATTGGGTTAAGATGTAAATAATCATTCCGACACCACAAAAATTTAAATTTGAACACTCCTTCAACGACTACCAAACAAACATAATTCACCACTACCACTTCAGCCTAAAAGTATGCTTTACAAAAGCCATTGCAACTAACGATTAAAAATAAAATAACACATTGCAGTAAATAAAAATAAGATGGCGACCATTTGATATTCTAGCAAGGACTCAAACCGATAGTCACATAGAATTACAACAGATGTCGCCAAAGCCACGAAAATTCGTCTACAAAATAATCGACGAGCTAATTGAAAAATTAAGGACGAATATAAGGGGGACTATACAGAACCTAACGAGGGAGTATTTATAGACGACCAGAAAGAAGTATTTATAGATGAAGTTGTAGTCTTTATAGAGGAGCAGAAGGAAGTCTTTATAGACGAGCTGAAGAGCGAGTCTTTATAGACGAGCTGAAGAGCGAGTCTTTATAGACGAGCTGAAGAGCGAGTCTTTATAGACGAGCTGAAGAGCGAGTCTTTATAGACGAGCTGAAGAGCGAGTCTTTATAGACGAGCTGAAGAGCGAGTCTTTATAGACGAGCTGAAGAGCGAGTCTTTATAGACGAGCTGAAGAGCGAGTCTTTATAGACGAGCTGAAGAGCGAGTCTTTATAGACGAGCTGAAGAGAGAGTCTTTATAGACGAGCTGAAGAGCGAGTCTTTATAGACGAGCTGAACAGGGAGTCTTTATAGGCGAGCTGAACAGGGAGTCTTTATAGGCGAGCTGAACAGGGAGTCTTTATAGGCGAGCTGAACAGGGAGTCTTTATAGGCGAGCTGAACAGGGAGTCTTTATAGGCGAGCTGAACAGGGAGTCTTTATAGGCGAGCTGAACAGGGAGTCTTTTTAGACGAACTGAACAGGGAGTCTTTATAGACGAGCTGAAGATGGATTCTTTATAGACGAACTATATAAACGAGCTGATGGGAGTCTTTTTAGGATCTTTATAGATAAATTATTTGAAAGGTTTAATATTGGGATTCTTTAAAAATCCACGTCTTCTATAATAAAATATATATTTAAAAAATCCACGCCTTAAAAATTATTATAAAAATATAATAAAAAATCCATACCTATTATAACCTTAAAAAATATTTTTTTAAAAAATCCAAACCTGAATTGAAGATTTCCTATGGAAAACCTTATTCAGCCATGCTGAATTGAAGATTTCCTATGGGAAACCTTATTCAGCTTGGCTGAGTTGAAGATTTCCCCTAGGAAACCATATTCAGCCAGGCTGAATTGAAGATATTCAGTCAAGCTGAATTGAAGATTTCCTATGGGAAACCTTATTCAGCCAGGCTGTATTAAAGTTTTCCAATAGGAAACCTTATTCCGCCAGGCTGAATTAAAGATTTCCTATGGGAAACCTTATTCCGCCAGGCTGAATTAAAGATTTCCTATGGGAAACCTTATTCAGCCAGGCTGAATTAAAGATTTCCAATAGGAAACCTTATTCAGCCAGGCTGTATTAAAGTTTTCCAATAGGAAACCTTATTCCGCCAGGCTGAATTAAAGATTTCCTATGGGAAACCTTATTCAGCCAGGCTGAATTAAAGATTTCCAATAGGAAACCTTATTCAGCCAGGCTGAATTAAAGATTTCCAATAGGAAACCTTATTCAGCCAGGCTGAATTAAAGATTTCCAATAGGAAACCTTATTCAGCCAGGCTGAATTAAAGATTTCCAATAGAAAACCTTATTCAGCCAGGCTGAATTAAAGATTTCCAATAGCAAACCTTATTCAGCCAGGCTGAATTAAAGATTTCCAATAGGAAACCTTATTCACCCAGGCTGAATTAAAGATTTCCTATGGGAAACCTTATTCAGCCAGGCTGAATTGAAGATTTCCTATGGGAAACCTTATTCAGCCAGGCTGAATTGAAGATTTCCTATGGGAAACCTTATTCAGCCAGGCTGAATTGAAGATTTCCTATGGGAAACCTTATTCAGCCAGGCTGAATTGAAGATTTCCTATGGGAAACCTTATTCAGCCAGGCTGAATTGAAGATTTCCTATGGGAAACCTTATTCAGCCAGGCTGAATTGAAGATTTCCTATGGGAAACCTTATTTGTATGCCTTGAAAAATATTTTTGTCAAAAATTCCACTCCTTGAAAAATATTTTAAAAAATTCGCGATCTCCATAGACCATGAAATCCACGACCTCCATTGACCGTGAAACAACATTCTTCTAAAATCCACACCTTTTATGAGCATGAAGTAAAATATTCTTTAAAATGCACGTCTTCCATATAAATATTTTTTAAAAATCCACACCTTTCATTGACCTCAAAGAAAAATATTTCTTAAAAATCCACTTTTTTAATACCATTGAAAATTTTTTCATAAAAACCCACGACTTTCAAGACCTCGTAAAAAACATTCTTTAAAAATCCACGCCTTCCATAGACTTTGAAGAAATAATCTTTAATCTACGACTTGGACTCTCCGAACTTGCGTTTGTCTAAAAGACTCCCTGAAGTTCTGTTGTAGATCTCTCGAATGGATCCTGGAAATAGTGATGATGTAAAATAAACTCACAATTTCATTTATGGTATTTTTTTAATTTTTTTATTGATTGTTTTTGTTGTTTTTTTCTTCTTTTTTTATATCTCGTTACT